GAGAATTTAGTATTGGATCCACTAATTATCCCCAAATTGATATTTTTCTTTATTCTCATCACCTTTCTGGTTGACATTGTATTGATATTGTAAGGAGAAATTCTGTCCTGGTCACTAATGGGAGATAAAGGGTTAAACAACTTACCAATAACAAGATAATAACTTGCAAGAGAAGGTCTTAAAAATTCAAAAAGCTTCATAGTCAATGCAATGTGCTACTGGTTTCAACAGCATGTAATAACGGCAGTAACAATCTAAGGGACAAGACAAAAATGAATTATGGGATTAATTTTTGATAACACAAATGTAATTTTGAATTCATCACTAACCTGGTGCAGTTTAAGGTGATTGGTTTTGTTAAGTTTTTGTGGGGGTTGAGAGGAGTAGTTTTAACATCTTCTGGAAAAGATATTCCTTGTAAAAAAAAAATTAACAGGTTGCCAGAAGTCACAGAGTATGTCAGCTAATTGCAAGAGTTTTCATGCAGTTTGAGAGTGGGCAATTCCAAGTGACACTGGAATTGCCAACTGTCCATCTTGTCCACTCAGGTACCCAATCAAAAGTCAGGTTTCTCTATGTTTCACTTACCAGCAAAGTCAGCCATGGAAGGAAACTCTTTATATCATCAGTTGAATCTATAGCAGGTTACCAACTTTCAAGTATCCAATTTAATATCTACCATAATGGCCAAGGAATATCCATTTATATCTTTTCATTTTCATTCTATTTTTGCTGCTCTCTCCCCCACCTTTTGATGACTACAACCAATTTGAGAATGTGTGTTTGGCTCCTATTTATAGTAAATCATGTAAGACTGTCACCTAGTCTTCCATTGTCTCAAGGGATGTTGTGCAGTGAATTTTTTCTGTAAGTGGCACTAAGCAACGTTGCCTTGCAGGCATTCAAACCACCTCTTTTTCCCAATGTTAGCTAAGCACAGTTGAGGTTCCACTTCTCAAGGACTCTCTCATTACAATTGTATCACATGTGCCCAAATTTGCAAGAAGAGTCTAATGTGTATGTTGTGGTTCAATTTTATCATTGGTTCAAATTTTATTTTCCTTTTGTTTAAACTCATTATCATATATTACAATACCCAAAAACACAAAGAAAATAAATTTGATAAAATTGAACCACAACATATACATACTGAAGATTATAAAAGCAAGATGTAAAATTACTTTTCCGTAACTTGAACACAAATAAAGCTAGAATTCACTATATGAAAAGATTATTTTAACATAGTGTGGTTCACATAAATGGATGCTGAAGACAACTATTGTCTCTGACATTTATTAAAAAATGAAATAGCAAATGGTTAATCACTTTTAGATGTGAATAACTCATTTTTGTCGTATGGTATATGAACAAATTCTTAGTATTTCATGGTAAGTGAAAACTGAAGATTCCTTTGCAATACTTGCATTGATGTGAATTTTTTTTGTCAAGTAATGTTGGTCTCTAGCATAACTATTTGACAGGAAGGAGCTAAGTGGTAAATCTGTCTCTCTTAACCCTTTTACTCCCAAGCTCTCATTAGTAATTCTCCTCACTGTTTGCCAAACAGTTCTTGCAATGTTAGTTTGGAGAATTTGGGATTGGATCAACTTATAATCTCCTAATTGATATTTTTCTTTACTCTCATCACTTATATGCTTGATATTGTATTGATATTGTAAGGAGAAATTCTGTCTTGGTCACTCATGGGAGTTAAGGGGTTAAACTTCTACTGTATTTGACACCATGTTTAATATGCTAATAACATACATGGCTACAACACAAGATATGCAGCTAAAAATAATCTTTACAAGCCTAAAGTGTGCACTAATGTGGGTAAACAATCAATTTCTTACAAAAAAACATTTCTAATCACTCAACAATGTTGTAAAATAGAGTAATTATAATAAATTAGTGTCATTGGTTTATGTGAATTACACGTTGTATTGTTGTCTTGTAGTTGTCTTCTCTATGAACTTTTGGTTCATTGGAAATAGATTCTGAGAAACCATTGCTTTTCCTGGGCAAACATAAGACAATAAGCATAGTGGGGACTGGGATCTGGGTCTTTAACAAGATACTGATGTACATGTAGGAGCCACAAGGTCAAAGTGCCCCTCATACTGTTGTTATTTCTAAATGGTATATCGGCCTTTTTACAAGATATCCTCCATTTAGATTGAATTAAGATAAGTCTTAACCCTTTAAGTCCCACTAGTGACCTAGACAGAATTTCTCCTCACATTATCAGTATGATATCAAGCAGACAAGTAATGAGAATAAAGAAAAATATCAATAAGGGGATTCTTGGTCGAAACTAACATCACATAAATTATATGGCAGATGGTGAGGAGAATTACTTTTGAAATCTTGAGAGTCAAAGGTTTAATGTAGTACCCTGACTTTCTAGATATGGTAAAGAGTTTGCGATTCTGCTTACGTAAAATGACAGCGATTGGCCACTTGAAATTTCAGCCTTCTAGCCATGAGTTCATTAGAATAACAAAACAGAAGCAGGATCAACCTCTCTTTGGATTTCTTCTTTGTAAATTCTCAGAGGTACACTATCGTTTTCTCTTGTTGCTTTTTGTGAGAGGAGGCTAGCTGGCCCTTAGCTGTTCTCGTGCACCTTATAAGTCTTAAAAATTGTGTTCGAAAACGAGTACTAGTGAAGCTGTACACAACTGGATTGATGCAAGAATTAAACATGGCTAATAAAATGGTGACTCTATGTAAACGACTGTACAATTCCTGATTTGGAAGGGTGTGGGTCACAGTGTACATCACTAGGACTGGTACCCAACATATGGCGTAGATGATGCTAACAGAGATGACTACTAAGGTTGCCCTTTTTCTTTGCAAAATAACCATCTTCTGCAAAAGAGAGAGATAAAAACACTAGTAGTGGCTGCCGCTATTTAAACATTTTCTGTATTTACACCCCTTCCCCGCTTGTTACATTTTTTTGGACGTCTACCCTCGAGCTGCATAAAAATAAGATCCAGAAAGGCCTGGTACTCAGGCAACATTTTTGATTTTGTTTCTCTTTCCGACGGAGATTCACAAGTGCCCCCTAGAGCTCCTCCGCCACGCTCTTATTACAGGGTGGGATAATCTATCAGCCTTCATTTGTTTGTCTTTGGAAGACGACTTGCTAAAACTTTCTAGAATGCAAGTTTTCATAAGCACTTACAGTAGCCGCAGATTTAACCCCAGGAGTTTTATTAAACCAAAGGTGGCAAACCACTTTTGAGTACCAATAACTCATTGCAGTGATGGGCAGTATTCCAGCAACTACGTCCCACCCTAAACTGTAAGCTATCGGCGATACGGGGCCTGGCCAATACTCTCCACAGGCTCCTGATTCCTCTTGATAGGTCACGGTCACAAGAAGAGGAATATTCCAAAGGAAGCCCGCCAACCAGCAGCCTGGGATGATGAATTTAAGTTTCCAGTTGGTAATTTCTCCACGGCCTGAAAGGGGCAGCACAACCGCTTGATATCTTAGAGAAATTGTGAAGAACGAGACAATAAAGATGAGTTGATCCGATACATTGCGAACAGGTGAACTCTCCGTGAGGGACTGATGAACTAGTAATGTCATTTCGGCCACAAAAAAAGTGGAAGGGTGACCCTAGATACCAAGGCACAGTTGTATTAAGGGTGGATAACCCTATCCAACGGATAAATTGCTATCCAGCGGATAAGTGATAGCAAAACGTACTGCGCTATCTACCGGATTTGTCCAGTGGATAGCGTTATCCGACCTTCGAACAACCGGGACCGTGTGGTGTCACATATTAGTTAAGTAGGCCGGCAAATTAGCAAAGAACATGTAAGTAGGAAGGAGGAAGGTATCCAATCGAGAGGATGGCTGCGTGTGTAGGCATTAGGTAGGGCAATAGGTAGATAGTTAGGTAGGTACGGTGAGTGTCTAAGATGGGTGGCAAAAGTAGTTGACGTGCCTTAATTCCCTTGATTGGTGGAGAAACCCCCCATTCAACACGATAAACAGAGATATTGTGATTAATCTCTTTTAAGTTACTTGAAAGTCCCGCTTTCCCTCCAAACAAGTTGCAAGAAATTAGAGACCATTTTGTTAACCTCAGGCAACACTGAAATGAAGGAGAGGAGTGGGGGAGATAAACTGGAGTTATAGAAAGAGTTCAAGGTGTAGTAGAGCGTGTCATAACTTTTGTCACTCATCGTAGGTTGGATGGCCGAAAGATTGGTGGGTAGGTAGATAAGTGGGTCAGTAGTTTGGCAAGTAAGTTAGTAACTGGTTGGTAGGTAGAGATGTCGGGTGGGTTGAGTTGGTGGGAAGCCGATGGGTAGTTGGAGCATGCTGAATATTTGGGGGAGGCTTCGGATGAAACACTTCTCACCTTTCATACGAGATGGCAACTAAGTTGCATATTGATACAAGTGCTGCTGTCCATATCATAGGCCCCCCTGTGATGAACTTACACAATAAAGCCCCTGTGCTTCCAGTTGGGTGTTGATAAAAGGGTCCAAGAACGAACTGTAATGCCGTGAAAATGGCCACTGTCACATCTGCAACGGCCAAGTTTAGCAACAGGCGATTCATTGGTGTTTTCATGGACTTGTTTAAGAGTATTACGAGGATAACCATTGTGTTGCCAACAAGGTCCATCAGAACCATGACTGAGAAAGCTGCAACAAGACCAACGTCCCTCATTGGTGATAGATGAAAATCTGAAAGATTATAAATGAAGTTTATGCTATGTTGTACATCTAGTTAGTTTATTTTTGATAAGAATTTTCTTTCTATTTTTTAAGGGTTTCAGTTATCTGGCTCAGCGCGCACAGGAATAGTAGGTAGGAAATTCTCGAAAAGAGACTTTCACCCATACACGAGGCAATTTTAGTCTGTATCCATTCAAATTTAAATTTACGCGTTCACTCAGCCTGACAAATGTAGGTCGCTGATTACTTTTTATCGTGTGTCTTTTCAGAAATAATAATCGCAAAAGACGTCAAACTGCGCTGAAAATGTTAAAGACGCAATTACTTTAGGCTCGTGTGTCTTTTTGTTTTTTGATGTTTTTTATCGAATTGTTATCAGACTACCATTTAAACTATAGAACCGGCAAAGGCATCTTGACTTCAGTTTTCATGCTTTCCAGCTTCATTGGCTATATAACTATAGCTCGTATTTGAATTTCTTTTGAGGATTTCCTTACAGATAAATATTTGGTCGAAGTCAAATTTATTTATAATAATTCAGGGTTATCTTCAGTACTACATCAAAAACACAACTTTGACCTTCTGTAAAGGTTCAAAGCGGCGAATTTCATTCAGATTTCCTTATCAAAAGATTATGAACCAGCAACGATACATCTCCGTCTTCAGATTATTATTGTTATGTTCAATCAAATTAAAATTTAGGCCGACGGTTATCAATTTAGTTTGACTGAACTGATTCACACACCTTTCATAAATCCAGCTAAACAATTTTTTAATGCATCCTAAGGATGGCGTGAGAATATAACGCAAGCTTACAAACGTTACTGACGATTCCGCGTGTGATCTTCATGTTAAGATAGGCTGATCCGATTCGAATTTTAACTGCCGTTTAGAAGCGATTCAGACGCTGTGACACCTCACGTGAACGTAATGAATTTATTGAAATCGATATGGATTATTTGAAGTAACACGTCTGAACTGTCTTGTCAAACAGTATTCATTTACGACGCGACAAACTTTGGTTGCCCTCTACAAAAATTGGACATAACCAGATCAAAACTTCACATAAAACTGCTACCAGCTAATATTCCTATATTTTCAGAGTTGAGAGATTCCCTTTACAAACAATAGTTTGAGTGGAAATGATATCGATTCTACGTTTGGAAGGAAACATTTCCATGCATTATATTCATACTTTATATGCCAGATATTCACAAATAAAATACGAAGAGAAACCTCAGTACTCTCCCTCTAGCTAGGGTATAAAAAGAGAACTACATGCTCTTTCTATTCTTTCATTTTAGCCGTGATGATAATCTCCTGTACCAGTGTTCGTGCTGTATTCACTTACCGTGTTTCAAGATGAAATCTATTGCAACTCAAGGTTTTGCTGTGTCCTTCCTCTTTCTTCAAACCAACTTTGTTTATTCTGTATAAATTAATTTTATACAAAGCGATTGATATGAAGATTTTCCTCGGCTGTCAGCAATCATCAATAATCAGGAAACACATTCATTAATTTTTTGTTAATTCATTCTGACAAACTCAGTGGAATGGACGAGTAATCTGCCGTGTGTATGATTTATTTACAAGTAAAAGCTAAATATTGATAGAGTTTTGATCAGTAGTGATGTGATCGACCAAATATCTGTCACTAGAAGACCCTATAGGAAAGTGTAAAATTGCCACGTTTTCCGGCTTCATTCCTAAGTGTCGTATCTGTTTTTAGAAAGAAATCTCATCATATTTCGTTGTTTGTGTTATTTCGGATATGTCCTTTGCTCTGCGAGTCGAATTCAGCGTCGAAGCCCTCACGTTAAAACTTATCTTTCTCGGCAGATGTACCATGTAAGACACGGCTTGAATCAGAACGAAGCGAGATTGCAATCACAAGCTACTTTAAATACTCTTCAGTTTTTTTTCTTTTCTTTTTTAACCATGTCATCTTGTCAATTTGTTTTTAATGTGGTTCGTTCCATCGGCCGATTGGTCATTGCTAAACGTTGTAAATTATGTCCGAAATCAGTCTGTGGCAGAAATTACATTCCGATTAACGTAGGAGGGAAAAAGCTACTGTAAAAAGAGATGAAGAGGTGACATTTTATTTTTAAGTGTCGCTATCAAAACGTCTATTTCTTTGTTTAACTCGCGCGGCCATCGCTGATACTGACTGAATAATGTGCTTCCAGCATGTTTTTCAAATTTATAAATTTTCAACATAAAATAACTATGGCGCAAAATTTTGGATAATTTTTTTAGCAGAAAAACTACCGAAATTCACCTCAAAATCGACAACAAAGAGTGGTTTTTCTGAAAGGAGATTTTCACAAGAGTTTTACATTTATCATGGAGTTAATTACGTTTTATGACTCCATGTGACAAATTTAATTTTCCCAGTTGTGTTTTAAACAAATGTATTCAAAGCTGTATAAACAACTTAGACAAACTATTGACATCTTGCTTTGATTCCATATTCGTAAATGTGTCCCGTAGCGCGTAGATATTTTTCTCAGGTTATTGCTCTAAGAGGGTAGACCGATTGTCACAAGACAATCCAGAAACCGGTCACCAAGCGGAAAGCCGTTTTTTAAAAGTTACTTTGTATTAGCTAATCATTTAATGACCTAGGACTGCGTAAATCCCAGTGGTTTTTGATCGTTGCATATAGTTTGTGAACCAAATTAAACCAGTGAGTGGTTGAAACTAAAAAGAGCTCATGGAATTGCAATGATCTTTCCTCGAAGGAAAATAAGGCAATCGTTTACATCTGCTAAATTTGTTTGTATCGTCGCATCCTTACGAGCGTTTCCTGTTTTTCGAGTTTTTTTTGCTACCCTTACATTTTGTAAGGGTAGCAACGGAAATTTTTTTTAATTGTAGTGCACTAGAGAATGAAAGACTCGCTCTCTGAATAACGCATGATTTCAAATAAATAGGAATTTCGTCTGCATCTTAACCATTACAAGTTCACAAATTGAGAAAAAAATACCGTTACAACTAATCATGCATGAAAAATGACGTAATACCGTGACGCTACTTAAACCTTTCGACTTCCAGGTGCAATTTATTTTTTTTCGTGCTTTTTGCCGAATCTTAGGGATCCCAGGGAATGCACTGAGTTTACCCACCATTAATTACTTTCCATTGTTAGATGTAGAACGTATTTTATCACAGTTATAATGGACGAGACATTACATCTTAAGTGCTTCTTAAAAGTTTAAACCTTACAACCTTAATCAAATTTCGCGAGAAGTTTCAATCAGGAAACATCTTCACTACTTATAAAAGAACTTTCAGTGCACATTTTCAAATTTACTCTCATTGGCTTTTTCTATCAATCTTCGGTCTAATGACTTTGATATAGCGTTTAGACTAAATTTACATTAATTTTTTTTTAAACTGTCGAAGAACAGTAAGATGCTAATAATTTTAAACCAAAACATATTTGTGAAACATCGTCAGGGTCTATTCTAACTAGAATCAAAACCAATACCAAAGTGTTCACGATTTCCTCAAATGTAACGTTAACCTAAAAAGAATCTTGGTATCGGCCATAAATAGCACTGTCGGTAACGCTTTTTAGGAATATCACGTTACGGTCAAGCTCGTAACCTTGAATTTATTTGTCCGACTTCCAGCAGTTCCATTTCAGAGTACGTGCTGAGGAGTCTAATTTCTCTCTCTTGTGAATTCCGTTGAATATTGAAACATATCTCGTTTAAATGGGATTTTGAGTGCACAAAATGATTACAATTTTGTCAGTGATCTTTTTCGGAGGAACAGTTGCTTTGGCAAAAAGGTAAGCTGCTGACTTACTGACTTTAAGAGCTCATGTTGTAATCGTTTTCAGAGTTCCTTGATAGATATCATTGATTCACTTATCGTCCTTAGAACGATAGAATTGTGCATCTTCGATTCAACTGAATTAGAATCGTAAAGAAAGAGAAACCAGATCTGAAAAGTCAATTGATTTCCAAGCTATAGGATGGGTTGAAAACTCTCAAGTCGCGTTGGATACGCCGTTGTGTTACTGAAATATGAAATTGAGACCTGAGTTCGTTACATGTGCATGACTTCCTGTACAGCTGTGACGACTGGGTCCCAGCACGTCCCATTGTTCTGATGATAAATCTGTGCTGAAGCTATAGCGGAAGTCCTTTATAAACTTAAGTCTCCGATATCAATTCTCCTCACGCCGATAGTAAGCGATATGTCTTGCAATCGACCTTCTTTACTGTTAAGGCTCTTTCTTCCTTTAACAAGTGGAAAGTGAACTGATATAATTTTCGTTTCGAAAAATACCATAGCACTAGGTCACTCAAAATTCTACTCTTTCGCGTTAGCACTCGCACTCTGAATTCCTATACCCTTTTAACAAAGGAAACTTTCTTAATTGCGCCCTGGTGGGGTTGAGCTTCCGCGCAAAATAAAATTATTAATGGATGAGGAATCTTTGAGGCATCATCAGCTGATGCAAATCGGAAGTAGGTAGAATTAGCATCGCTATTTTTGTGTACAAATATACTGATTAAAAAATACTTTAGCGGTTAAAGTATAGCAATTGCAATTTTTTTTTTCAAAACAGGTTTCGACCTGTAACTTCTTATAAAGAAATGCCATGGAAATTTTAGAGTAACGTTAAAGGTCCAACATGTGATTGATGTCTTGAGAGTTTTACTAGTTCCTGTAGATGAAGTGATCCATGGACCCATGATTGATTAGTTTGTTAAACGAATTAATCTCTGGTCAATATATCAGTCACTCAAATAGGTAGCGGTTAACCATTTGAATGATTGATATATTGACTGACCGATTAAATGACTGTGACTGATTGAGTTTTGGCGGACCGATGGCCTAATTGACTCACTGACTGACGAACTGATCAATGCTTCGACTGACCGTCTGACTAATTAGCTAACTGACGTATTAACTGACTAACTCACTGACTGACAGACTGACCGACCGACTGAATAAAAAGCAGGCTGCACTATTGACTCACTTATTAGCTGACTGCATGACTGATTGACTGAACTAGCTTGTTGACTGCCTAATGAAATGATTTGTTGACTATCTAACTGACTGACAACTTGGCTTGCATCGCTGACGGGCTGAGTACCTGACTGACTAATTGGTCAATTGATTGATTAATTGACTGACTGACTGGCAGACTAACTGAATGAATGAATGAATGACTGATTGACTGATTGGCTGACTGACTGACTGACTGACTGCTGGACTGACTGACTGACTGACTGCTGGACTGACTGACTGACTGACTTATTGAATAACAGACCGACCAACTTTCTTTGCCTTGCTGAGGTGCTCACTTTGTACCCAACGGTGCATGCCAATAGTCGACTCTGTGGGTTTTCAGGTCTTGTGCCAAAGCAGAGAGGGGATTCCCTGAAACACCATATTCATGGCACAGAGTCTTAAGACACCCCGAGCATTCTCCCATACTGAGTATAGTGGCATTGAAGCTTGATGAAGTGATAAAATTACTGATTGACTTAATCTTTTCGATTTTTTCTTATTCCTTGGCCTCATAGTAACGCCCGACTGTTCATTACGGCTCCAAATATCTTTCATCTCGGTGTGGAGGAGACAGTATCAGTTATCATTTACGGAAGCGATAGGCCTGTCAGTGTGACAGTGATTGCTCAGGATTTTCTCGATAAAAAAAGAAACTTGGCAGTCGCAAGTGGAGTTTTCACTAGTGGTAAATAGTATAAACATATGAAAATCATAAGTGTTCACTGCGGTTGAAAAAACGAATATAGAATCGATCCTCGCAGTTATGAACACTGCTGAACTAGTAGCTGCACCGGTATCGCAGAGGTCATGGGTTCAAATCTCGTACGGGCCTGAATTTTTTTCAGGCCTCATTTCAACAACTAGTTCAGTAGTGTTAATAACTGCGAGGATCGATTCCATATTCGTAGTATGAATTGAATAACATATTAGCGGTTGATATTTGCATTTAAGTCGCAAACGTTCAGGAAATATAATTGAGAACTTTGATGGTTGTTTCCCTCATTCAAACACACTCTCATGTGAACTGAGGTTTTTGAAACAGGAGAGCATTATCAGTATTCACAAGGGATGACAGTTAAGAAGTTGGTAAACTATATCTGTAGCCAATGAAATGTATGATCAAGCATGCGCAATCTGAGCTACTATTACTTTTTCTTCAATTTATTTCCACTTTTAGGTAATTTATTTGAGTCGTTTTTTTTTTTATTCCACAGAGGTACCTGGTGTTTTGAAACTAAAGGTAACAAGATACACACTTGATGTAATGTAAATTTGTTCTTACAGATCTGGCGATGACGTACATTGTGACACTCTTAAACCACTGTTACAGAGGGGTTTTCACGTGCGTATCTATCATTGAGACCATGACGTTTGCTCTTATTTTGAAGGATTATGAAGTTCAAGTTCAGGGTTCAACATCACTGAAAGATAATTATTTCGTTATGATTTAACCGTAAGGCAATCTGAAGATGCGATTGAAAACCTGTTTGATTTGTTCAATTCATGCTCTCCACATGCCTTAAGCATATGAAAAAAATTCTTTATCATCATTCAGTTGTCTTCCTTATTTGCTCGGAAGCAAGAACGTTCGAGTTGCAATAACTTTTCTCTCACTTGTGGTTTAATATTCATTTCACCCAGTTGGATCCAAAAGATTTTCCAGTGGATGTTACTGATGACAAAGATTTAGCCACTCATCGCTATGTCTCCCTTGTTGCCAAATCTAACGATAGCGACGTAACCACGAACAAGGAAGCAAAGGTGCTCGTTAGTTTTCTAGATGGCATTGTTCTTCTACAGACCGACAAGCCAATTTACACTCCACAACAAAGTAGCAGTTTGGAGTATGCTAAAGGTGAGTCTGATATCATTTTTTCATTCGCCCAGTTGCCAACTGGGTGAATTTTCCTGTCGTATATTTAGCCTGAAGTACTTACCAGTTATGAATCTCCCGGAACTGCATTTAAAGTTAGGCCCTAGTCCCTATAAGACCTTTGGAAGATGCATCTATTTGTCTCAATTTCGTTCATTCCGTCATGTGTGCGCAAGATTTTCCGCTAAGGGAGTTCCGAACAAAAGTCTTCTTGGGGTTTAAGAACTCGTCAGATATCAGAATGTTTTCTTTTTATAAATTGCTAGTTTCTAAACTAAAGGGGCCACAAACTCCCATGCCCTCCCTCCCTTTCTTAATTACGCTTTTCTAGGTATTGTTTTCCACGTGCAAGGGGTGAACCCAATTCCAATTTCGATTTAGGGAGAAAGAATAAACAAAATCTTAACGGCTCATGAAAAGTTCGGTGTATGTATCCAAGCCATGCAACATTTCAGTATGCTGGACGGACTGAATGCCGGGTAAGGAAGCTCCAAAGTTTCAAACGCCTGAACTATGGAAGAGTCTCTTGGAAAGTTATGACTCTAACTAAAGGATCGTTTTTTTTCAGTTAAAATACGGATCATATGCCTGGGATTCGATCTTAAACCCAAAAAGGAGAAAAAGGTGAGTAGTTTAATTTATTCACTTGGATGAAGATGATCGGAAAGTCACTTCATATAATAACATACATCGAACACAGACTTCTGTTTGTACAAACCACTGAGTTTTAATCATGCCATTAACTTTCCTTCTTTTTATCGTCCTCTATAGGTGACAGTTATTGTTAAGGTAAGACAAATGAGAGTATTTAAAGACATACAGCAGTTAAAAATTTAAAGGAACCGATCAACTGATTTCGCCCGCCTCAATTATGAAAAGGGAAAACAGTCCCAAAGTTGTGAAGAGACATTTAAGCAGTAATGAAAACAATATCGAAAAAATTCAGGCCCGTACGGGAATTGAACCCATGACCTTTGCGATACTGGTGCAGTACTCTGCCACCTGAGCTAACGAGCCAACCGGGAGCTGGTCATTATATAGGCTCGTAATAAATTCAGTCTTAAAGTGATGAATCGATGAAAATCATACCTGTGAACTGCGGATTAAGAATTACTGCGAAGCTCGCTTTCATATTCATTTCTTAATCCGCAGTTTACATATATGATTTTCATATATTTATTGCCAAAGGTTTACCTATCTTCATAACCAGTCGTCAGTGATGAGTTAAGGTAGTGATGAGTCATTTTGTTTTACTTACATCGTTGTTATTTGAAGAATGCGTAAAATCACTCATGTAAAGAATCCATTTCCATTTTAGAACCCTCAAGGTGTTGTGGTTCAACGATGGAAGGATCTGAGTACAGAAACTGGTAGGAAGTCTTTGGAAAATTCATGGTACCTTTGGACCGCATATGCTCGAAAACGAAGATGCCCTATTAGTTTTAGTTTAATTTTCTTATCAAAAAACTGTCACTTAAGAAAATAAAGGAAAGCTTTCAGGGGCAGAAACATGGAAGTAATCAAACATGTTGACTTTGTTTCGTCATGTTTTATCTCTAAGGTTTTTCTCTTTCAGGTTTTATCATCAAGATTTTTGGTCTTAGTGAGTTTGCGTTAGCTGGTCAGTGGACTGTATTAGCACTTCATGGACATGAGGTGACTGTAACTAAAAGTTTATTGTTAATTTTTTTTGTTTGTTTCACTTAAAAGTATGAAGGTTGATGCTTGTTCTTTATGATGATGATGTAAGCGATTTTGTTTCACAGAACACTCAAAATGCCTCAATAAAGTTTGAAGTAAAAGAATACGGTAAGTGAGAACTTACATATGGGAGGAAATCTAATAATTCCCAGTCGTTTAGAACGTATTTCGATCGAATGTCTTAGAGCCAAAACCAAAGTAATCACAACGACCAATCAGATCAATACCAGGAGCCAATAAGAACGCATGATTTATTCAAGGTTTTCTTTATCCGATTGGTTGTGAAAATGGCGCGAGTTTTCTGGACTAATCAAGTAGCGAAGAAAATGAAAACCGAAGCAATATCGATGACTTATGACAGTCAATTGAAAATCGTTCTGTTGCACTTCTCGTTCGCCAGCTGGGTGTCGCAGAAAAAACCTCTTTCACTTGCAATGCTTTTTTAGCGACACTCAGGTACCGAGAAACACTTTTTGGGCAATGCAATAAGCTGCATGGTGCAAAAAATATTATGAAAACGTGGGAGAAATTTTTATCCCATTACTTCGAACTGCATTGCACAGCTATATAGGACACCCCAAAAATACAAGAAATCTGACATCCTGTGAAGTAATCTTATGAGTACTTTCGTCTTTGTTTCAATTTAGTTCTCCCAAAGTTCTCTGTCGAGATATCAGGACCAAAATATGTACTTCCTAATGTGAAAGTCATTGGCGTTTCCATTAGAGCCAAGTATGTTATTCAATTTTTTCTCTTTGTTTGAAGTCTCTGCACTCAGGTTTAATCCTAATAATAGATAGTATCGGAGAGTATCAAGAGAAACATAAGTGCTGTGCTATTATATAAGTAAATCTGCAAATACTGAACTTTACCGAAGGATCAGAAACAACTATTTGACTGCCAAAGGTTAAAATATCACGGTGACTCAAGCTGAGTTAAAAAGCGTCCAGGGGGCGTTAATGATTCCCCGAGATTTCTACTTAATCAGCCAGAAGGTAAGGATAGCACTTTTCGACTGACTTGTCGCTCGCTTCATTGCATTATCTTTGCAGTAAGTTGGGAAGTAGT